AGAGCCACGAGGATGCAACTCGGGCACTCAATGCCCGAATGCTGGACCTGGAACAGGTTGTACCAGGACCAGCTGCTGGGGCTTCCAACAGTGCAGCCTCTACCCGCCAACTGGAGGAACGCGTTGACCACGTAGTGGAAATGCTTGGCGACATCAGCACCTTCGCTGCGCCGACCACCATCAGCAGTCAGCTGCATACCTTGAAGACCGAGGTCTAGCAGCTACAGTCGACGAACGCGGATGACAATCCGAAGATGTACAAGATGCCAACTTTCCAACTGGACAAGTTCGACGACTACATAGCAGGATCCGGTCCTCTGGTGGGAAGCATTCACAACGCAACTCAGGATTCTGCTAGTCGCCAAGCACGCGTACATCGGCGCCCTGTTCCTGAACTCAAAGGGCGGATGCCAGACCTGGTTGAGCCACCTGGCAACCTCTCACGGTGTCGACGTACCGGACTTGAAGGACAAAATCACATGGGAGGAACTGACACGGCTGTGGAAGAAGCGGTTCATCGTCGACGACGCGCCGACACTCGCCATCAACCGTTTGTTCACCATGTCACAGGGCAACACTGCAACACGGGATTGGCTCACGGAGTGGCAGAAGATTGCAGCGGTGCCCAATCTGGAATTGGCATTCACGCATCTACGCCGTGAGTTCTACAACAGGTCTTGTGCGGCATTGAGCCAGGCTCTTGGTGATCGCAAGCAGTTTTCAACCTTCGCTGAGATCATTGACAAGGCAAGAGAGATCATCAAGACCAACAGGTCAGCTGCACACGAGAAATCAATATGGCAGCCGACCTATGTGGAGAAGGTACGAACTGGTCCGCGACAGCAGCACTTCGCTGCAGTCCAGTCGGACAGTGGAGATAACCCAGCAGCCACTCGAGCATCAAGTGACGGAGATCAGGTGGCTGCTGTCCAGTTGCGAAGCAACAACAAGTCCCGCAACAATGGGAAGGCGAAATCCGCATCGCAGGCCGGAAATGGACAGCCTGTACAAGTTCCATGGGTAAAGTTCGGCTTGACCGAGGCCGAGTACAAGGTCCGCGGCCGCTACGGCAGCTGCTATTGGTGCAACAACACCAAGCACAAGACCTCCCTGTGCCAGGATCAGGGCAAGGAGGATGTGCGACCCCGCCTCAGCTCGGAAAACTGAGCTCTGCGGAAGGTGAGGCGACTCCACCTTCTACTCTGCCAGATTCGGCCGCCTTGCTAGCGGCCTCCTGCACATCTGGGGAGAACGTGAATGTCGCAAGTTCTCGTTACACTTACGAGGACAATGCTGTCCACTTGGTTCCACCGCTGGACCAGCCGCTCCACGTGCAACAATCTACCGCATGCACGGTTTCATCACCATCGGCAACCGGTTCGGCATCTTCGCCGCCATCTATCGTCGGGGATTCATCGTCGTGGTCAAGACTTGAGGTGCTCGACCCACTGACGTTCACGGACTTCCAGTGGATGCCCGTTCCCCCGACCGGACGATTGCCGAAACCGCATTGCAATGTGCTCATGGCACAACTGCGAGATTACTTGCACACTGCAGGACCAGCTCCGTTGATGGACGTCGGAGTAGAGGTTGTTGACCTTCATGCTTACATTGCGAAGATCGACCGCGAGTTCAAGACGCAACGGTATGACGACATCGACGCACGATTGCTATATGTACACATTCAGATCGGCGAGGCGACCTGCAACGCCTTGATCGATTGCGGAGCATCTCGCAACTACATCAGTGAGGACTTCATGGTGCGCGCCAGCCTTGGCCCACGCGTCCGGAGGAAGTCCCAGCCGATGCAAGTCACGTTGGCGGACGGTCACACGCATAAGTCCATCGACCGGTGCGTTGACAACGTCCCAGTGTACTTTGCCCCTCACGCAAGTGAGGCGGTGTCCTTTGACATTCTGGAGACCAAATTTTATATGATCTTCGGCATGTCATGGCTACGAAGCGAGGATCACCCGGTGAACTTCTTCCACCGCACCGTTCACATTCGTGATCGGAACGGAGTACTAGTTCCATGCACGGTGCCTCTTCCTCATCCTTCGATCAGCTGCCACGTGGTATCCGCCGCAAGCATACGAGCTTCCATCATCAGAGACGACATCGAGGAGATGGGGGTGTGTTTTCTCCACGCCCTCCCGCCCCATGACGCTTCATCGACAGACTCACCTTCGGATCCACGCATCACCGAGCTTCTCGACGCCTACAGCGACGTGTTCGAAGGCCCGCACGGAGTAGTACCGGATCGACCCATCTGCCACGAGATCATCCTCGAGAACGGGGCCGTACCTCCGCGCGGTTGCATCTACCGAATGAGCGAGGAAGAGTTAAGTGTGCTTCGGGCACAACTCGATGACCTTCTGGAGAAAGGCTGGATTCGGCCTAGCTCATCGCCATACGGTGCTCCTGTTCTCTTCGTCCGGAAGAAGAACAAGGATCTGTGGTTGTGCATCGATTATCGCAAGCTCAACACGCAGACGATCTGAAACGTCGGCCCTCTCCCACGCATCGACGATCTTCTCGAGCGACTGGGCGGCGCCAAGTTTTTCTCCAAGCTGGACCTCAAGTCGGGATATCACCAACTCGAGATTCGCAAGGAGGACCGTCACAAGACCGCGTTTAAGACGCGATATGGGCATTTCCAATGGCTGGTTATGCCATTTGGCCTTACGAATGCCTCGGCCACTTTCCAAGCGGCTATGACAACGGAGTTCCGACATGCTGGATCGTTTCGTACTTATCTACCTCGACGACATTTTGGTCTATAGCCGGAGTTTGGAGGAGCATGTGGAACACCTGCGCACCGTTTTGGAGCGGCTACGACAAGCCAAGTACAAAGCCAACCGCGACAAGTGCGAATTCGCGCGGCAGGAGCTGGAGTACTTGGGCCATTATGTGACGCTGCAAGGCATCCGTCCACTCGCGGACAAGATCGAGGCCCTACGAGTATGGCCCGAGCCCACCACCACCACAAACGTTCGTTCATTCATGGGATTGGCGGGCTACTATCAGTGATTCATCGCCGGATACTCAAGGATTGCTGCACCTATGACGAGGTTAYAGTCGCCAAAGGTGCCATTCGTATTCGATGACAACGCACGCCGGTCATTCCAAGCACTTAAGACGGCCATGCTCATGGCACCCGTCCTCAACATCTATAACCCCACCTTGCCAACGAGAGTGACTACGGACGCTTCCGGCTATGGCATTGGGGTAGTCTTGGAACAGCACGACGGCGACGACTGGCACCCTGTGGAGTATTTCAGCCACAAAGTGCCTCCCWTCAACTCGCTTGATGATGCAAGGAAGAAGGAGCTACTCGCGTTCGTCATGGCTCTCAAGCGATGGCGGCACTCCCTCCTTGGGCATCGTAGGTTCACATGGGTTACGGACAACAATCCATTGACCTACTACAAGACGTAGGATACGGTGAGCAGCATGATCGGACGATGGATGTACTTCATCGACCAGTTTGACATCACACCGAAACATCTTCCCGGCCTCTCAAATCGCGCAGCAGATGCACTCTCGCGAAGAACTGATCTTTGCGCTATGACTCATCATGCCTTCGCATTCGACGAGGAGCTTCAGTGACACTTCATCCGGGCATATGAGTCTGATCTGGACTTCGCCACGCTGTACGCACAACTATCTTCGGATCACCCGCCGACCAGCCACTATCGCATCGCCGACGGATACTTGCTCCTCCACTCGAGAGGCAAGGACTTATTGTGTGTCCCACGCGACCGTCGTCTTCGGACTCGCCTCCTCCGCAAGTATCATGATTCACGACACGCCGGCCATTTCGGAGTCAACCGCACTATTGCACAACTTCGACAGTGATTCCAATGGCCCGACCTCATTACCGATGTCACTCGGTATTGCGACTCGTGCGAAGTTTGCCGACGCAGCAAACCCCGCAACCGCAATCCCTATGGCGAGTTACACCCGATGCCTATCCCACGGGAACCCGGTCTCTCCATTGCCATGGACGTCACCAGTCCGTTTCCTCGCGACCGGCTCGGGCCCGACGGCATCCTCACGGTTGTGACTGATTGAGTAAGTACGCGCGTTTTCTTCCTTGCAAGTACTACTCCACGACTCCCGAGCTGGCACGCCTCCTGCACACTGGTTGGATTTGTGGCCACGGTGTACCAGAAGACATTGTCAGCGACCGCGACACTCGTTTCATGTCGGCATTTTGGACTGCTCTCATGCAGGAGTCCGGCACAACAATGAAACCAAGTTCGTCTCGGCATCCACAGACAGACGGGCAGATGGAGCGGGCACATTAAACCGCTCAAATGATGCTTCGTACGCTCATCCGTCCGGACCAGAAAGATTGGGTTGACCGCCTCCCCGACATCGAGTTCGCCTACAACACTTCGGTGCATCCTGCGATCGGCGTGACTCCATTCGAGTTGCACCACGGTGGACGGAAAGGCTGGATCTTCGCCAACCTTTTCCTCCCTCGACCAGCCGACATTGACGCTGCCTGCTCTCCCGCTTCCGTCCGGAAGTACAGGGAATTGTTGACTCAAGCCCGCGCAATCATGCAAAAGGCTCAAGTCCGCATGCAGCAGCAAGCCAACAGGCGTCGCGTACCATGTCCCATCCGCGCCGGTGATCTGGTTTGGGTCTCCGCGGAAGAGTTTGCACTGGAACAGGATGTTTCACGCAAACTGCTTCCCAAGTGGTTTSGACCTTGGTCTGTGACAGCGGCCGCGGGCGATGAGCCCGATGGCCCTTCATTTGTGATCAACATTCCAGAGCATCTGACAGTCCATCCGGTCTTCCACGCCTCGAAGCTGGCAACATACACGCCAGCAAAGAGCGACGCCTTTCCGGGCCGACAATCGTCGGACCCTCCTTCTATGGATGGTCATCAGGAAGTTGACCGCGTCATCACCGATCGCAATTACGGCAACAAGCTGCGGCAGTACAAAGTCACATTCAAAGCATGCGATCGCGACGACACTCGGTGGAGTTCAGACGCAGATTTGAAAGCATCCGCACCGCTGATCTACGCGCATTATGAAAGGCGGAGGTTAGCTCAGGAAGCTTCACGACCAGCCCCTCCCATCTGGACTTTGGTCCCTCGCCCTCGCAGGTAAGCTCGGTTCTTCAAGGAGGGGGGGGTGTGGCATACTGCGTAGCCACACGGGCCCTGCAGGGACCGTCTCGGACATTCAGCCTAAAAGCCTAAAACTTAGGGTTTACAGGCCCCGTTCGTTTCAGCCTGAAAGCTGAAAAACAAGGGTATGCATACCCTACTCCGTTTCAGCCTATTTCTGGGTCTTTCAGACTAAAAGGTTTTCCAGCCTGAAACGGAGGGCCATTTTCAGGCACTCATTGTTTCGACCTGCCCCTAAGACTCAGGCACGTAAACACGGCTCAGGAAGCACACCCGGTAGTACATAGGAAGTTCCCATGCACTTCACGGGTAGGTAGTTTTCAGTAGGCACGAGTAGTCTTCATGATTTGGCCGCAGCACTCAGGAGGAGCGCTGCAGTAGTCTTCAGCGCTAGGCAGTAGTAGTAGCGCTAGCTGTAGTCTTCGGCGCTGGGCGCCCATAGCTGTAGCAGTAGTCTTCAACACTGGGCGCTGGTAGGTGGTAGATCGTGGAGTGAGAGAGATACTAGCGGAGGCCAGTGGTACTTACCTGTGGCGCCATCGCTCCAGCTCCATCTTTGTGGTACCTGCATCAAGGCGGACGCAGAGAGAAAGAGAATTCTTCTTCTTCCTCTTTTAAGTCCACCATCTCTTCTCACCCTCTCGCCACCTGACTTCTCAGACTACCACAGAGAGAGAAAGAGTTGTGACTTGAGACTTGACGACATTGGATCCAGAGTGGACATTGGGATTCAGACATTTTGACGAGGGACTATTTGGGCCTGTACCGAGACTTGGTGTTGACGACATTCCCATCTTCCCTCCTCTTTCGTCTAACCCCTCCTTCGTCTGTGTATGGTTGGGGCTGGTGCAGTCTTCTTGTGTGAAGCGCCAGACCCCCTTCACACCAGATAACGATGATGATGATGTGTGTTCAGAGGTGCATGGCATTATTGATTGTTCGGATCATTCGTATCTAAGTCTTCCGCTATGTTATCCTGTACTTTGTATTGAGAGGTCGGTTCTTGTTCTGGTCTGCACGTTACAGTATGCAACACCAGCCCTGATTCCTGGAGGTGTTGGGTTCTAAGTACCTCAGATTAGGGTGAGGTGGATTATTTTGAAGTAGCAAGTTGCTTGCTGGGTTCCCTGCTGCTATTCCGGGAGGTGTGGAAGCCATTGTACGTCGGATTAGGGTTGGCCTGGAAGGATTATGATGGTGGAGATGAATAGGGAGGAGTATGTGAGTGGTGTTGATAGGGGAAGAGGGGAAGGATTTTTTTTTTTTTTTTTTTTTTTTTGATGGGAGACGGCCTTGGAGAGCGTCCGTCGTTATTTTTCTTATTTTTCTTATATTTATTTTTTTTTTTTTTTTTTTTTTTTTTTAAGCTCCAGTCTATTCGTGGGGAGCAGCACGTGCTGTGAACAGGGCCCAGCGTCCCATATGAATATATATCAGTTTGTAACACCGGAGCCATTACCCGGCTTCGGCTGAGAAAAACCTGAGAATAGAATGCTTCAAGCACTTACGAAATTAGAAACCTTCAAAAATTCTAATGTTGATGATACTAATGATACCATGATGATGACCAAAGAATATATAGCTACTCATGCTAAGTCAGCCATACTGGACTCCTAATCCTGAACAACTCCAAGCCCTCCCTTACCAGGATATTGCAACTCAAAAACAAGACAAACCTATCCCCCCACTGCCATAGCTGATCTCTTCTCACTACCCAGACTAACCCCACCCCATAAGTTGTCAAGGTAGCCCCCCCTTGGGAAGGACTCTGCTGCATGTGGAGGACATCCATGACAACAAGGAGTTGGCCTAGGAGGCTTCTTCTTCTACGGCGGGGGAGGAGTCCATAGCTGCAAGATCACCAGAGGAGGCAACTTCTTCAAGGACCAACCGGTCTCGGCTGGGTGCAGGGACAGCATGTGGTGGTTTCCGACTGGTTCTAGTATGCTATAGGGGTAGGACAGTCCCAATTGGCCGAGAGGAGAAGTAGACCGGACTAGGGAGACGTGATTGCATTTTACCACTTTCAATTTGCGTGACGGCTGATCAAGTGTGTGCCCCCGTAACCGAATGGATGCCCTGGATTGTTTGGTTCTGAGGCGTGAATGCCTGATCGACTAAAAGCAAGTGGGGGAGGGAATTGTTGATCGAGCGGTAGAGGCGCAGGCGATGACGCCCCGACCACCAATTGAGCCGAGCAACTTTTTGAAAACCGGTTGACGCAGATAAGAGAGTGTGAAAGGAGGGAGAGAGACAAGAAAGAGAAAGTGGAAAGGCAGGCTACCATTGTGGAACACGTAGAGGGGGTGTGTCAACCGCTTCTGATCTGAAAGATTATGCCCAGAAACTTTCTGATCTTCTCATTGATCTTTTGGAGAGCCGCAAGTCCACTTTAGCACAGCTAGAAGATGCGCTGCAAGGTAATGTACAGCTGCATGAAGCCATCAAACCGC